TTTTTACTTGCCAGCATTTTGCAAATATAATTAGTAAATGGAGCAACACTTTCTTTTAATTCGTCATCGAAATCTGTCATCAGTTGTAATATTTTATTCGTGCTAAACATGAATGAAGTACATAGGTTAGGGAATTGATAAAAATCACGCCTGGTAAAGAAGCCAATTGGAGCTTACTAAGTGGTAGGTTTCCTTAGACAAAACTCGAGAATTCCCTCCCGGTCCAGTTCCTTGAACGCCTTGCTCTCGCTATTATAGCTTAATCTCAGAAAGTAGCTTATCCACGCAACTTTTTAAATAAAGATCAACTTCAGATTTTCTGTATATCCAATCAAACAGTCAAAAAAAAGATTAAAAAATTCATTTGTACCAATAGTTAAGGAAAAACTTGAAGATGCTGACTTGGACCATGCGAATTCTAGAAGAAATTACAGAGAAAAACACAGATTAAAACGTTATGATAAAAATACACCAAAAATGTGCAATGGAATTAATTACCTTCATCCGAAACCAGTATCTCTAACATTCCTTGAACTAGTTCATCACCAAAAATAGACCATTCGCTATCGAATCTTTCTAACATTGGGAACCATACATCTATCAAGTCATCTGACAGTGTTGCATTGACTACCGAAGCGCGCTTCCTAAGTTAAATGAATTTGTTCCCACAATTGTTAGCGTATACATAAGATTATGTTTAATAATTTTGAATCACCTACCTTTTACCTTTCGGAACTAGAAATCCATTCTCCAATAGAATGGGCACCAGTAAATCTTTTATATATTCTGCACTAATCAGGTTTAGAAGTTTTTCCACGACTTTGTACGCTGAAGCCTTTTCACTCGGGTTGGAAACTGAAAAGAATATGGCTAAAGATAGTGATTTACAATTGAAAGATAATGAAGAATATGATCAATGCCTCACCTTTTAGATATTTCTTCCAAATTTCTTTGTATTTGGAAATTAGAGAACGAATCTCATTCAACTGGGTTGAATCAAATGGCTTCTGAGTTGTCCAGTAATCACGATTTAGCCATTCTAGAGCCTATAAGAAAAAAGAAAAAAACCAAGTCTAGTACGAAAATCAGTGATAATTCGACTTTAATTATTTACTTGTTGACATCCATTCCGCAAAACTTGCAAGCTAGGAAGGTGTTCATGAGTCCCAGCATGACGTAATTCAACGAACCACAAAGGTAGGTCGAGTTTTAGCGCTAGTGAAGCAACCGATTCGGCATAATTTCCTTGAATTTGATCCACCAATCCATTAACAAATCTAACAAAACAAAGGCATTGCATTGTACAGTTTCTCTATTTAACATGATGCACCTTCGCAAAGATGGGATGGGATGGGATGGTAAGGTCGGTACATGCCTAATGAAAATCATCGAGTATAGTAGTCTCAATTCATGATTCGATATTTTTCCGAATTCGTCCCTTAATGACACTTCGACGAACGCGGATGTGCAAACAATGGCTTGGGGAACTTTTCCGCGGCTTGACCATGCCTTGACCTTTAATTAATGAAATAACCTTCGATTAATTAAACAGGGTTGTTTCTCTCAGACACTGAACGCAAACAAGACTTTCGAATACCCGTTTGATACCCAGTTCACGTAAATTTAGAGAATCTGAATACAACCATTCGTAAACTTGCTGATATTCCTGTGGCGAAGTCCAAGGAACTATCCGTGGTATTCGTAACATTTCAAAGGATTAAATGAGAGTATGTTTTATGCAAAACAGGATCGTCAGATAATCTATTGTAATAAGTAATCACGCAAAAACCATTTTCTCTCATTTCAAGACATTTAGAAAAGTGATTGCAAAAAAAGTATTTTTAACTACGTCGATGAACATTAACATGTGCTAACAAATGTCTCTTCATCTTTTCTTTTTATTGGACCATATATATATTTACCTCCTAACGATGCTTAGATACAACTATTTTTACCAAACAACAACGCAGAATAAAATATTTATTTTCATATCTAACAAACAACTGGTGTAATTATAACTAATTTTACTCATTCTCCAATTCCCTATGCTTACAATCACCAGTTTCCTCACACTCAAGTTCAATATTGTAGTATGCAGTCTCTTTGTAGACTTTTTCGATAAAATTTTTAACCCTTTCTGAAAGGTCAAAATAAAAATCATGTCATTATAAGATATAATTAATGTCAGAAAGACATCACCCTACCCCTTTTAAGATCTTCATCTGTCTCTTGTTCTTCGTTTTCATATTGCGTGAGTTCACCTTCTTCAATTTCTTCGTTGATTAAAGTGTTCAAGTTTTTCAAAACTTTTATTTTTTCTTTTTTAATCATATTTACTAAATCTCGTTCGAACTCTTCTTCGTTGTCCCAAGGCCACCACAAATTCCTTTGATTTACATATATTAATGTGGATTTATTGTTATCCAACTTGGGATTACTCCATTCTTCAGAACATTCGTACGACTCACTTTCGAAATCTTTGACTTTCTAAGGTTCAATTAATCATTTGGTCAATAAAAATGCTTAATTTATCTTGAGAAAAAGTGTTAAAATCAAACCATACTGTGTGGAAGCCGAAGTTATTATAACATTTTCGAATACCGCAGTGTCCGTCTCGAACACGAAGATCATAGTTATGCCTTCGATATTTGCGTGAACCATCTAAATTATAATTGAAATTGTACTTGATATCATTTCTCCAATGATCCCGTTTTTTCGATTTCTTATCCTTTCTTGAAGCACCCTCGTAAGGGACAGACTGTCTCTCATGATTATTTGTGATTAACCAGGAAAAGTAACTCTCCGAGGAATTCTATAAATATTAATGTGAGTCCGATAAACATTATTTTCAACACGCTGTTTTTCTCATGACTTCAAACGGAAGGTTTGTTACCGCAGAATAATCTTCGTAATCGAATTTCAGACTTGTTTTCACCCTTCCGTTCATAATTTCTCGGGTGGTAAGAAAATATTCATCATCTTGTTGTGAAACCATGGAATTTGCGTGATCACTCCAACCCGATGATGTTTGGTCAATTTCTCGGGTGTCTTCAACTGTTTGGATGCATTGAAGATCGGATTTCTTTTGTTTATCGGATGTTTTCTAACAAGGATCAATAGAGCTGAATTTTGTTTTGGATTGAATCCCGAAAATGACAGATGCAATCGGCATAAGAAATTATGCAATTACCTTCTTTCCGTCGCACATTTTCCTTTCGCAAGCGTTACTATAATTATTAGGTCCGAGAAAAGGAATGAGATCCGGTGTCATACTCTTTTGATAAGATTTTTCATACAGCTCCTCACTCCATTTGGGCGCGACATTAAGTTTATTGTGCTCACGACGGCTAATAGGAATAGGCTGTGCCAAACTTTCAAGGATCGCCCTGTGATAAAGGGTTATCTTACCATCCTCAGAAGTGAAACGTCTATTCACTTGATATGTGGCAGCGGAATTTCGGAAAATTGCACCTCGTTTTGTCGGTGCAAACGAAGTCGATAATCTTTCAAGATTCTCGTTCTTACGTGATTGATTCACGTTATTCTCAAAGAAAGTATTGTCATTCTTTTGGTACATGGAAATCGGTGGCCCTTCAAAGTTTTCTAATCTATGCGGTGGATAAATGTCGTCGAAAAAGATACCATCGTTTCTTAATGGATGTTGTGGATAAATGTCACCGAAAAAGGCGCCATCCTCATTTATTTGGTAGATGATCGGTAACTTTCCGTGGTTTTCCGTTTGGTGTCGCGAAGAATCATTGTCAAAAAGAGTACCGTCACCAGTCGCGTATCTATTTTGTGACTTTTCAAAAATTTTTAATGGCAGAGGAATGCCATCGATAAAATCCCCGACTCTTTCTGGATGCCTGATTGGGTAATTGGTCAAAAATCTGTCGCGATTCACAGGCTTTCTAACTTTCATTGACCCATTCTTTCTCTTGTGACCAATATTAGCAAACGCTTTAAAAGGTTTCTCAGGTAGAGCTACATCCCGATTACCTTTCGAGTTATTGTTTCTTGAAGGGTTAATGCCACAACCCTGATGGAGATATGAAAAATGACTCTGATATTCGTTTTTTTTATGACCAGGAGATGTATCGACGAGTCCATCGGTGATTAACTCTTGGTCCGCGGATGATGCGTCCAAGCATACATCATTTTTCAAATCGTTAGTCAATGTTTTTTCGAGATCTTTCTCCTGGCATGGCCAAAAGACGATTTCATGAGAAAACGATGATGGAAATTTCACAATAAATTGACTTCTTAATCGATACCTTATTTATATCAAATTTCGAATATTTATCGCGTTCTTGGTTAAAATTTTTGCGTTTCTGATTCACTTTAAACTTGTGATATTTGGACAACAAGAATTCACCATTTGCAACCTCATTCAGTGGTAACCATTCCCACCTTTTGTCATGCCCTCGATATCGATTAACAAAAAAAAGTTAGTTGTTGATCTTCAAACGAAGAATATTTGAAGCCGATAACAAATTCATCTTGGGCAACGGTTGACATGAGATGCTCGAATTCCCTACTTACGATAAAAACTAATCAGAACCTTGGTCATTCCGTCTTCGTATTTTACATCACGGATTAATTTCGCGTCCTCGATTTTATCAAACCTTCACAGGAGAGGACATGATTAATCAAGAATTCAACCCTTTGGGACAAAAACATGAGATGAAATTTCTCTTATGCAACCTTGATCGTTTTCTGCTCTCGTGATGAGGATCAAGTTCAGTAGAAAATTGTGTACCGGTTATACTATAAATTTCAGTCATGATAATACTTGTTGTTCCGCGTTTTGAACTAAAGGTTCACAGAAAAGGGCGGATTATTGCGGTTATGTTTAAAAATTTTATTGTGATTCAAGTGTGTATAGTGTTGTCGCAAGCTTGATAATTAAAACTTGAGTCATTATATTAGAGGATCGGTCATCTCATTCGGTCAATTGTGCTTAAAATCAAATTAATCGAATTACCATAATCGGATATTTATACACTTGGAACATTAGATGATCTTGTGGCGATTGTATACAGTATTATTAAATCCGGATAGTATATCTTCCTAACAATAAAAATGTCGCAAACGCAATCCTAAGACGATCACATGAAATTGTGCAATTTTCTTGTCTGTGCACACCAAAGACGCGTTTTTACCTATATCTTTTTTCTTCGTACGTCAAAAAATGATAGGGTCGGACAAGGGAATTCAATTTCTTCTTCCTCATGCCTTGCAAAAATTATGAACAAGTAATAATAACGAATAAGCATCAATATAGCTAGTCAAATGGAAAATTTTGCCAAGACGCATTATTGTGTTACTGCACGACCTTTATTGAAACAACGCGTATTCAATTATTCACAATTAGTAATAATCTTGTTCCATTGGCTAGCTGGTTTTAAAAAAGAAGGCTCTGCCAATCACCAGCTCTTTGAAATGCAATATACCGCCCATGGGAATGTGACATCATATAACAATCATAGAAAATCCAGAGTCAAATATAACCAAAGAAAATGATTCGCACAGTACATCTTCAGAACATGGTCGTTTTTTTCAGTCGCGCTGTGACACTTCAAGTGAAATCCGTTCGTAAACAGTATCTCACGTCGAACAGGCAATTAAGTGAGAAAAGATCATCCTTGTTGAATTGGTTGGAAAAGGTATATCTGACAAATAACCTAAAGAACAAGTGTCGAGGCTTTGTTATTCATAACTCACCAAATGTAATGAACTACTTATTTTCCTTTCCTCGATTACCGAGCCTTTCGTTATTCCCATGCAAATAAAACTCGCGTATTTCTTTAAAGTTTTACCTCTACACTCCAGGTATGCAAAGTTTTTTTTTTTTTTTTTAATGATTCACACAAAAACCCCAGGGTGAGAATCTTTTGAAAATCCATGATTTCTTCCGCTCCTCTGTTTCACTATAGAAATAATTTCTACGACTATCCTGATCACCGGTATATTTATCGACTCCGATACTATCGAGTTAAGGGAAAGGCTAAGACGTTTTATTGCATATGAAAGAAAATGTCATCAAGTAAAAATTCGCAAGACGAGACGTACAAGATTGAGAATCAAGAGGAATCCTAGAAAGAATGCACAAATTGCGTTCACCGTGGTCATGATGGTTGCATTGATAGTTATATCCGTGGATGTTTTCGTGGTTCGTCGGAAAAAGTTCAAGATCTGATTGGATGACGGGATCTTTATCAGGAGGGTTGTACCATTTAAGTGATGAGATTAGTTTTCCCGTAAACGAGAAGGACATATTACTTTTTTTCTTGACCCGGACGCGGTGTTATTCTTCACTAAAAAAAGTTTCTAATTAAGTTCCTGATATTTACGACCATATATTATTAACATTGCATGGAATACGATGTCCAATCGAAAGGTTCTACGTGTAGTACAAGCAACCATACCTACGCAATAATGATACTTTGAATGTGTAACAGGTATCCGTGAAGTAATACAAACCATGTGGTGAGAGTGTACGTATGATACGCACATTGGCTGTGTATCGTCGTGCAAGATTCTACACATAGCGTGAGGCATATAAATATATATCTGTATACCAAAAAGTTCGTTCATAATCATCTTCGTCTTATTTTGACGGTGTCTGTTTTCCCAGGATTAAAATATAGAAAAATAATAATAAATAAACTTATTAATTTAAAATAATCAATGGTCCGTTTAGCGTTGCGGCCACTGTTTGTAATTTTTATAATTACGATATCATGGATATCGAATGTTAAAGCAAACATCGAATCACTGGTAAGCTTGACAATTTTTTCTTTTACATCATTCATTACGATGATAATTGAATAAATCTTGTGTCGCCTACCCATCGGTCGAATAGAATAGTATATTTGACCAACAATGTTCAGGGATGTTTGCAAAATCGGCGATTCCTGGAGGTTCCGATCCAAAAATTGAAGGTAAGAGGCAACGGACATTTTTACAAAGATTTACCCACATTCTGTGTAATCTTTTAAACTATTGACGTAATGATTCTTTCCAGTTACATACTCCAAGGAATCACCGTCGGATGCGGCCGTAATTGTCTACGAATGGGCCGATAATAATAACTTTGGAGTTGATGTTGATGAAGGAGTAATAATTATTCTATTATAAAATTTATTTGATTTGCTCATTTTATTTCAGCTTATTTTATTTAACTTTTTTTTTTTTTTCAGAAAAAGTATATTTGCGATGACACGGCCATAAAACAAAACTTATGTTCAGAATCCGAACTCGGAAAATTTATTGTGTCAAAGGGTCAAACTAGCATTCTTACTAGCACATTTAAAGTCGCCGGTAAAGATCAGAGCATTTCGTATCCTGTCAATAAAACTGGTTATTACTGTGTTGCGGCTCTATCATTATTGAAAGGTGGAGATTTCCTTGTGGTCATTGATTGGCGTAATCCATACGGGGAATTGCCAGCTGCTGATTATCCAAAATTACCAGTAAGCCTTCATTATTTAGATCTTAAATTGAGTGTGAATATTCCTGTTATTTCCATGAAGCTGATCGAAATCATTAGTTTTACGGACTTTTGTCATTGACATACTTGGCCATCGGGATTGTGTGGATGACGCTCAGTATTGTGCACTGGCGTGATATTTTACAAGTTCAGGTATTCATCTTTTTCAAACACAATTTCAGAAAATTTGATTCTCATTCATTAACAATTCTCAGAATTACATCTCGGCAGTAATTCTATTTCTCATGTTGGAAATGGCCTTCAATTGGGGATACTGGGAGAATTACAATACTTATGGTTACTCATGTATGTCTTTGTGTCTATGTTAATCTTGGTTTCATTTTCATTAGGAAGGTGCTCTTAAGAACATCTCGCTTCTTTTTGTTTAGCAAAATTTCTACTCGGGCTGGTGGCGGTCCTAAATGCCGGAAGAAATTCGATTTCTTTCTTTATGCTATTAATCGTTTGCATGGGTTATGGGGTGGTCAAGTGAGCATTCAACCCAACGTTTTAACAAGAAGTGAATTCTTCTGGCGAGGACTAATTACAATTTAATTAACGTAGACCTACCCTTGGAAGTACCATGAATAAATGCCGTGCCTTAGCCGCGGCTCATTTCATCTTTGGTATTATTTATGCGGCAGGGACGATGCTCATTAATCCCGACACTGCCAGTCCCCTTATATTCCTGGTCATTTTTCCCTTGGCCTTCACGATGACAGCATTTTATGTATGGACTCTTCAGTCCATCACCACAACCCTACAAACTCTTGAAATCCGCCGTCAAAATGTCAAGTCACTGATGTACAAAAGGCTTTATCGATTGTTGGTTTTTTCGGTGTCCGTTCTTGGTATTTTCTTCTTCATCAATATGTTCAACTACATTCATCGTGAAGACGCCGACTGGATACCAAAGTATTGGCAATGGAGGTGGTTCCTATTAGATGGATGGTTAAATATCCTATACCTGATTGTATTCTCCGTGATTCTCGTTATCTGGAGGCCAACTCGTAATAATAAGAGATATCCTTTTCCTTCCAACGATTCTTTTTATTCTGAAACCTAAGGGATGTCAAAATTTTTCGGTGATTGTCTTTAATATGCTTTTTCCACGTTCGCAATGAGCGAAGAATTAACACAGGATGACGATATGGACCTAGAGATTAATGTTCTTCGCGCCTCAGAGAATCTTGGCTATGACCAGATAAAATATCGTGGGCAGTCGGAGAATGGTGAAACCGAACGTTTGCATAATGACGATGAGTCCGCCATATTTGACATCGGGGATCATGATGATATAGACGAACCCACAAGATGGGATGACGAAGAATCTACGGCAAGAGCGAGCAGAGGAGGCAGTTCTAGTAGTAACGAACATTCCACGCAGAGGTAATTGTTATTTCTAGAATTCAAATCCGAGAATACTTATATAGATAACTTGTTTCTTTTTTGTATTCATTAGGATTAATGGTGATGAAAACAGTGCACATATTGAACAGGAAATTTCAAAATTGAATTAGTTATATACATACTTTAATTTACAACTACTAAAAAAATCCCTTATACCTCTACCACACACATATATATAATATTTTAAAAAACTCGCTAGTCTTTCTTTAAAATAATGAAAAAGTTGATATTATTTATTGGTAAATGCGGTCGAGCATTTTTGGATCGAATTAGGTAATAATAATATTAAATTCGGGTTGGCAATTAAATGTTGTTGTCGCCGTAAAGATGTCTTCTAACGCTCTACATTTTTTCGTCTTGAGTACTAACTTGTATATCGGATATAAAGGAAAAGGTTCGACAAGTAGAATGTACCCTTAGCATCTCGCGTTTTTAATCGGACTACTTAAAAATCACGCTATTTTTCCATAACGCACAGTTCACATATGTAAGATTGGCAAAGAGTAAATAAGTTTAGCTGTATTTATCACTCGGAGAACAATGGTGTAACGGTATTTATTTTAATAGAAGCAAAATTTTAGAATTTGTTAAAGGAGTGTGTGCTCAGATTTAAGAGATTGATTCGAAAAATCCAAATAAAATTCGTCACTCCACTGAACGAGTAAGTTTTACATGCTTGGATCAAAATCAACTAACCTACACAATGGATTGGTGGGGTTGATTTAAGTATCTAGAAAATTAATTAAAAATCTGGCGAGACATAAATAGTAAAAAAGACTTGTGTGAATAGAGGCTTAAGATCAAATTAATATAATAAATCCATTCTATTCAAGAAATCCCATCGACTTTCTATAATTTGTCCATGTATAAGTACCAACTATTCATTCGTTGAGGCAAATGGTACAATATACCGAAACTTGCGTATCAAATTAATTTAATCGCTTTCATCGTCCTTGTTTTCATCATTCATTTCCTGTAATTTACCGGATCTCATGGCCTCTTCCACGGGATTCACCACATTCATGACTCCAGTTTTCTTGAGCCGTTCAAACAACACAAACAGCTTCTCGGCTTCTCTTTCTTTCTCTTCATCAGTCATATCTGACAGTGACGGAGGCTCATCTTCAAAATACTGTCCGGTGATGGGATTAATCGACTTATCAGAATTGTAAATTGACGATGTTGATGGAATCATTATGTTACGACTCATCAAGAATCCAGCCCCGTTTCCGTAGCCAACATGGTGAATGAACACATTCGCTAGTATGAGATAAGTGTATTAAGTGACAAGAAAAATTCATTGCACAGCCCAGAATAAAAGAAGCGTGAGACTGACCATCTTGATCACAAAGTACAAAAAATAGTTCGCTGACGCTGTCTTTTAAATTTGGTAGCATAACCGAAGTCATGAGTCGAATTAGACGCGCGGAAATACTATCACCTTTTTCCAGTGGTTTCGAACGATCTCTGATTATAATCGCGAATCTAAATTATTATCAACCGTAACAGCAAGTCAACCATGCCTCACGAACTAGAATATACTCACACATCATCAGGCAATAATCGATTCCTTTCCATGGTCTTGGCCAACTCGTCCTCCTCTGCCAACTTCTTTAACAGTGCAACAAGAGGTGTGATAACTTCATCAAAGTCAACGCCGTATTTTGAATTCCTATCGATGTTAGAATCGGGATCACCTTGAATTGCAGTGAAGATCATGGACTTCAATATTTCTAGTAATTGATCGAGAAGTTCATATTGTTGACTTTTTTTTTCCGGGGGAAACCAAATTTTTTTGTGCGGTGCCACCGGAAAATTCAACAACGCGTGGATCGCGTGAGAATGTGGCGGCCCTAAGGGTAATGGTGATGGAGGTGGTATCTTCAATACGACATCAATGACTGGTTGGAGAAGCCTGTAAATGTATGTTATATGAATATTTCAAAATCTCGACCGTTCGTTCATCGTTAACTGCGAATATTTACTTTTCAAATTTTGATGAATTCTGGATTTCATTTAGCCTCCCATCGCGTTCGACTTTAGGATAATTTATCATCACGTTAAAAAGAAACTTTAACTGTTCATTAAGAACCATGGCTTTGGTAATTGGAGATGTTTCGGTGACGGGCGTCCGAGAAGATAATGCACTGACATGCACGCATAGAGACTTGAACGCAAAAATAGAGCGAATGAATAAATATCTAAATGCGCGTACATATACATCTGCATCTGCATTTGTATATCTATTCGTGAGAGTTATACTTTGTATAGAATATCGTATATTCCAAAATTATCCACAAGTTTAACGACGGTTTGTGATGGTTTGATGGTCATTAGAAATAAAATTCGCGAGATGAGAAATTGCGTTTTTATTGAGAGCGTTGTATCCTGTCGTAGAAAATGAATGTGAGATTAGAGGTGATCGATTAAAACTCCTCTCCATCAAACTTGATTTTCCTGCACGATCTCACCTTCAGACTCTGACAAACGTTTAAAACGCCATCATATCTGTCAAATAAATCGCGTGTGCTTTCCTTCAACAGAAGCGCGTTCGCAATACATGTAAGTGCCTCTTGAGACACAGGTTTATCAACTGCGTTGATTGTATTTGGTAGAATTGTAGCGTGATATAGTAGAACTTTAAATCCCTGTGTATTCAACGGTCCGATCAATGTGATTGATTGTCGACGAAATTGAAAAGTTTTACTAGCTGCCAACTCACCAACTCTGAAAATAAAAGGTCACACCCTTTTGCGTCGCGCCCCAATGTCTTTAATGCCTGTAGTGCTAGCAGTTTTACTATGTTTGTGTGTGTAGAATTTACAGATCCGTACTTTGAAAATTTTTTCACTTGTTGGATGCATGCATTAACAAAATCTTGACAGTTTTAAAGTTAATACCATCATCGTTCCACTTTTTTTGAATGCCATTTTCATCGAGATCGAAAATGAGAGATGAAACGAGTTCAGTTTTCTCTTCCAACGTGAGCGAAGTTATTGCTAACGAATGAATTAAATGGATACCACGTTGAAACAGTCGATTTAAGATTAAACCATAAAATCATCACTTATTAAACGCGCATTCATATACCGATGGGATTATTCAAGAGTGTCTTCAAATTCGATGACACAACATCAATATTGGCTTTATCTTCAATTGATGCATAAGAACTCATGATGCAACGATTTTGGATTTTTCGACACTAGGGCTTCCAAAACCATTTATAAAATTATAAATAATTGTGACCGTTTCTGCTGTGCAAGGATTCACATAATTATATCATGTGATTGATCCGATAAAGTTTTTTTATCATAATTCGAAAAAAAAATTTTTTTAGCAAGCGTAGATTCCTATTTATTCAGTATTTAATCCCGACGAAATATTATGCTAAAAGGCTTATACTCCCCCCAAAATACCAGCCTTTTTACAAAAAACGCGAGAATTCGTGGAAAAGACGCGTTGTGTTTTGAGCACAACTTACATAATTCAAACGGGAATACGATAAACCAAGTCTCCTACAATCAGCAGAGATTTTTCGTATCATGGAAGTACAATGATCGAAGAGACAGCGACCGAAGGAATAAATACAGGTCACGAAGTGATTTCGACCATGAAAGATATAGCTCAAGGGAAAATTTTGAACATAAGTCAAGAGAGGAGGAGAAGGATATTTCTTACAAAATCTGGCATGCACCGAAAAAAGATGACTACCGACGAACAGGAATTCACGAGGGAACTGAAAGAGAGAACGACGACTATGTAAGAGAAAGGTCTTCTAAATCATTTTACGGTTCCAAATCATCCGAAACAGAGGCATACAAAAGGTACCAACAAGAGGATTTTGATGAATTTGACAAATACAATCGAGAACCTAAGAAACGCGGCGTCGATTTACATCAGCGAGGTAGCGGATTCTTTAAAGGTGTTTTTGAACCATGGAAAAGTAAAGAAACTCAATATGAACGACCTATATATGGTACAAGGGATAGAACTCGACCCAATTTAAGTGGGTCACAGGGAAAAAATATCAAAGGATCTATCGGAGATTTCTTTAATACATCGGTATCAAAAAAGCCTTTGGATATTCGAGATAACGACACCTTATCTAATTCAACGAAAAATATTGAACCGCAGGAGTTAAGCGCCGCTTTTGAACGAGAAACTTTTGAACAAGAAGCCAGTTATGATGAATCTCGTACGAGAAACTTTGCAGATCGATTAAGATTGTCAAAGATTGCTTTGAAGCGAAAAGGAGATCATGATGAGAATACTTCGGAAAAAGATAGAGATAAAGAATTAAAATCAGAAAGTCAATTTAATCATGAATTGAATCAAAATGAAAGATATCGCAGAAATGATGATTACTATTTAGAAGAGGAAAATTATAAAGAACGTGATTATAATGATGGTTTCAACAGAAACTACTCGTTCCCTCGTAGAGACGGTTATGATAAAAGGGAACTATACGAACCTAGGGACAGAAATTTTGGAAGGAGAGATGATCATATGGGCGGTAGTGGGAGAAAAATGTTTGAAAACGTAAGACGAGATCTTAATCGAGCTGAACACGAGAGGGCTACGCTTGGTGATCGAGACATTCTAACATGGGGAAAGTACCCATCGAAAAGTAAGGAGTTAAGGGATAGACGTTCTAATCCTTTGACAAAGAAAAACTTGTATAAGCACCCGTGGCCAAACTTATTCCAGCGCCTTCATGGCGTCCAGGACAAGACAATTATTCATTTTGAAAACCTCCGAACAAAAAAACAGTACAGATGGGAGCAACAAAAGGTTATGGTTCAAGGGGAAGCGAAAATTTTGGATTTGGTAAATAAGGGATTTTATGTTAAAAACCTCATAGTGACAGCTCCGTATAAACCCAAAACCAGATACGAGATTCAACCACCAGCTTTGGACTATATAGAAAAGCCCCCTTCAATAATGGCCGAAAATTATTATCTTATGAGCATCGACATGGTGCGTAAGATTTTGGGGAGTGCAGCCAAACCCGAAAAGCATGAACTCGTAGCCGAATTTTCTTTTCCCACGATAGAATTTCCGCCAAAGGCTGAAATTAACAGGATAATTGTGCTGGAAAATGTGAATGATGCTTATGATCTTGGGATGTTAATTCGTTCCGCAAAAGCAATGGGCTGGCAAGGAGTTTATCTAATAAATAAAAGTGGCGATGTATATAATGATTTTGTGCTAAGGACTTCGGATTTTCATAGTTTGACATTACCATTTATTTATGGAACTCCCGAAGGATTGCAAGAATTTTTATCCAC